CGCGCACGCACTCACGCTCACACACACACAGACACACACACACACACACACACACACACACACACACACACACACGCACGCACGCACGCACGCACGCACGCACGCACGCACGCACGCACACCACACACACACACACCACGGGACGGGCAGCGCAGCAGGCTGGCGGGCGGCGCGGCAGGGGCCTGGCCAAAGGCCCCCCTCCGCCGGCGCCGGCGCCGGCTGCGCGCCGCCTGGGGAACCGGAAGGCTGTAACAGTGGTGCTGCTGCGGCAAAGCCGCGTCGTGCCGACCCTGGCGCTGGTTCCGGAATGACGGCCTGCCAGATACCACCCCAGCCTAACCCGAAGATCTCAAGATCTCAACGTCGGGTTGGGGGTGGGGTGCGGGTTCCTTCTGTGCTTCTTCTAGGTTCCCCGACGGCGCCCCCCGCCGCGCCAGGAATGGAGGGCCAAGTGGGGCCTTCGGGCTGGGTTGGGGTGGTCCAGTGGGTGGTGACTGAAGCCGCGAGGATCGTTCAATATTGAACGATCGGCAATTTCCGAAACGTCCGATCGTTCAACATCGACCGATTCTGGGTCGCTGGCGGCGTTCCAAGCTGCACGCCAGCGTCGGGGTCGCCGCCAGCGCTGGTCGACACGATGCGAATCTACCGTACCCCTCGGACCTCTCCTGGGGGCGTGCTGACCAGAATATCGAGAAGAATCCAGGCGTGTGTGGCGACGAGGGCCTCCCAGGAGGCCCAGAAGCGAGGCAGAGGCAGCGGTACGGTAAGTAGGTTCGCGCGGCGCCAGCGCGCGCAAAGGTTTTCGACGCCGTGTCGGTTGTTCAACCTTGAATCGATCGCGGCTGGGATCGTTCGAGGTTGAACTCCGTCGGGTCCAGTGGCCTCAACTTGTCCCTCGGTGCTTCCGCGTCGCAGAATTCAACCTTGAACGCCTTTGCCGGCGTCTCCAGCGCGCCAACGCCGCATGAACCTACCACAGCAGTACCTTTTCCTTCTCCAGAAGCAGAAAAAAAGAAGCACAGAACCATAAACTTTTGGCGCTCCGCGCGGATTTCTTGGAGCTGCGCTGGACCCCCCTCCCTGGCGCGCGGAGCGCGCCAGGCGCGGCGCTGGAGGCGCCACTGGGGGGGCCCAGCGCAGATCCAAGAAATCCGCGCGGAGCGTGGGAAGTTCATGTTTGCAGCGCTCGGTCTTCTTCGAAACTTACCCATGCCCCAGTGGGGGTGGGGATGGTTCCGACCATGGTGAACCCTGCCGCCAGAGATCCTGCCCCAGTGGCGTGCACCTGCCCCAGTGGGGTGGACCATGATGAAGCATCAGTCCTGCATGACTCACTGGGGAAGTCTCGAGCTACAGCGCGATTCCCAAGCAAACAGTGAGGAAGTTCGAAGCGGGAGCGTGATTCCTGAGTGTCGAAGTCGCGGCGTTTCAATCAACTGCGAGGGATGGATGATGATGACCCCTGCCGCGGGAGATCTGGGAACACACACACGCACACACACAAACAGACACACTTTTTTGCGTCGGCGGCTGGGCAGAAGGTGACTGCTCTGGCAGAGTGGCAACAGGGGACACGCTGTATGCAAATTGAGGCCGCAACGTACGGAGGAGGAGGAGGAGCGCGACACACACACACACACACACACGCACGCACGCACGCACGCACGCACGCACGCACGCACGCACGCACTCACACACATAAACACACACACACGCGCGCACACACACACGCACGCACGCACGCACGCACGCACGCACGCACGCACGCACGCACGCACACACGCACGCACGCACGCACGCACGCACGCACGCACGCACGCACGCACGCACACACACACACACACACACACGCACGCACGCACGCACTCACACACACACATAAACACACACACACACACACACGGAGCACATACACGCACTCACGCTCACACACACAGACACACACACACACACACACACACACACACGCACGCACGCACGCACGCACGCACGCACGCACGCACGCACGCACACACACGCCCACACACACACACACCACGGGACGGGCAGCGCAGCAGGCTGGCGGGCGGCGCGGCAGGGGCCTGGCCAAAGGCCCCCCTCCGCCGGCGCCGGCGCCGGCTGCGCGCCGCCTGGGGAACCGGAAGGCTGTAACAGTGGTGCTGCTGCGGCAGAGCCGCGTCGTGCCGACCCTGGCGCTGGTT